TTGGTGAAGGCCAACCAAGAGCTGGCACTGATTTACACAGAGCCATGGAGGTGTCATTTGACTCCATTTTTTCGCTATTAGTAAGTAATTACATCATCTTTTTCTGTGTGTGTGTGTTTTGTCAGCTGTTGGGGGGGGCTCAGCTTTTCTTAGATAAAAGTAGGGGGGGCGCCAAGGAAAAAAGTTTGGGAACCACGGACCTAAAGCATCTCAGAGTCATTAAGATCCGAATCTGAGAATCCCTTACTTGCCGACACACTTCACCACGTTTGCTTTATAAACAACTAATTACAATTTGGAAATGGTAGACAGCCACTTGACAGAAATTTTATATAGCTGAAGGCTTATGTGGCCTTAGCATGTCCAACAAAATGAACATATGCCATCTGAATTTCCAGATAATGTATTTTCACAACATATCAGGCTATATTATCCCATAGTGATTATCTAATTTTATCTGTATTACTCTCTTACATTCATAACCAATTAAGGAGCATCTCAAAGATCAGATGTTTTCTCTCTCAACCTGATCGACAAGATCATCTATGCTTATATCATCTCAGTTAGATTATTGTAAACTCACTGTATTCAGATTTGAGCCAAACACCTCTCTCACGCCTTCAGATGGTACAAAAACACAGCTGCTCGTCTTTAACCAAATACAAGAAGACAAGACCATGAGCCTCTCTTCACTGATCAGTTATAGAGTTGAATTTCTTCTCTGGAAAGTCAGTTTGAATTTATATAAATTTTGGATGGAGACTTGACTAATGATGGTTGAAAGTTTGAAAGTGCGTATATCTGGGGCGCCCTGTGTTTTAGAGGTTAAGATGTCGACCATAAACCATAACGTACCTGCTTCGACCAAGGCTGGGAACCTTTGTTGCATTTCTTTCTCACGTGTTTTCTGTCATCTCTCTGCTGGTGCTAAATAAAGTCATAAAATGCCCAAAAGACATATTTAAAATGAAATGCGCATATTATTATATAAAAGGGGGGGATAAGTCAGTGTGCTTGAATATGATTTCACATGCATCTCCGTTGCCAAGTCTGTGTGTGTTCAAGAAGAGAAGGGTTGCACCAGTCTACAGCCCTCCCTTTCAACCAACCCCAAAGCATTTTGACAATCAACCACTGTGGCCCTTCACAAAAATCAACATCACCTGTGACCCATGGCCTCAACTCAGCCACTCAAAGCAGGGCCTCCTGCGGCGTGGAGGGGAGGGGGTTTTGTGTGTGTGGTGGACTGTGGGGCTCTGTTTGTCATGCTAATCAGCTGGCCTAACCTTAATGACCCAGACATCTGCTGCACTGCATGTGTCAAGCCCCACATTCAATTTGTTCCCCTAGATACAAAAAACAGGTAAGACCCTTGAGGCTGGTCAGAATGTCTGTGTCCTTGTGGCTGATGTTGTGTGGGTGAGAGGGAAAAAATCCTTTTATATCTATGCATGTGCCACAGCAATAATTACCAGCAGAGGAGAGGTAAAGTGTGTACGTCCGTGTCTTCTGTGCTGTGCTCGCGTTTTCTTCTGTGTATGTATGTGTGCGTCTGTGTACACACTTTAATGTCGAGTACCCCCCACCAACAAACACGCGCACACGCACACACGTTCCTGTCTGTATGTGCAGCAGAGCGATAGAGCAGGGGTGGGGGGAGTTTGTTTAATGGGCGAGACAGGGGACCATGGGGATTAAGCTCCCCTCAGCTGGAGGCTTTAGACGAAAGGCTGGGGGCTGTCCTGTTAATTCAAGTGGGCTTAATAATGCCTGTGCACCCTCTGCCCCTGACCCTCCCACCACTACATCAGATCTGGGAGGAAACGCATGATAAAGAGAGACAAGTGGGGAGTGGGGTGGGGGTGTGTGTGTGTGTGTGTGTGTGTGTGCGCAACCTGTGGCCATCTCTACAGTCGAGCATGGGCTCAGGGGGCTTGAGACATTTCGCCTCTATATTACTTGCGCTACTCTCCGGCTTTGGCAACAGGCCTTTCTGTTGCTCCACTTACACGCCACAGCCAGCTTTGTTGAAGCTGCATTAGGATTAATCAACACCCAAACAATATGGCAAATGCTATCAACTGGGTCAGGCACTTTGCCACTACCAAATGAGGCTTTTTCCTTTTAAACCAATGAACTGTGCCCATAACCTGTGACAGTGGATTAAAATGTGCCCACTGATGTAAAAAAAAAAAAAAAAAAAAAAGGTCACAAATCTCTGTTAAAGCTTGGTCTTCTTTTTATCAAAATGGGACAACTATCTGAAACAAATCATTGTTTTTGTTTCCCAGATAATTCCAGAAATCTATAAAAAATGAAAGCACTTCCACTAGGCATGACTATTAATTCTGAACACATAATAGGCACCAAAACAAAATGTTAAACTGTGGAAGAAGGCGGTGAACCCGTAACAAGCATCTCTGGAAACAAAGCAGCAACCACCCAAATGGGGGGGGAAATGGCCTGGCCCAGTTGGACTGGAAAATGTCTCTCTTGTGTCTAAATATGAAACAGCTAAAAACCATATGCCCCCTTTCACATACACTTTACATTAACACAGGAAACACCTTAACGTTATTTTAATGCAATGTGACGACATATCACTGCCACCATCAATACAACTTCCTCTGCTGCTTTAAATTCGAGGCAGCATACATGGGAGGATCCTTGATTGTGCATATACATAATGAAAATGTAACGCTTTTGTTCACATCATATGCCAGTATGGAACTTTAATGCTGATGTTACTATAGAATGAACAAAGGAAAATAAAAGGAAACCAGATCCGGTGGTGAGTGAGTCAGTCTGAGAGATCCATCATCTGTCATTATGAGGCAGTCCTGTTACTCTCTCATCCCCCAGCTCCTTATCTGTGACACTCCTATCTATATGGGTGTCACACACTCTCCCCATCCTCAGGGCACCTGTGACAGCAGCCACAGATGAGGAGAAAGAGGATTTGAAGAGGGAAGACGTGTGTGTGTGTACATTATATTTATGTATAAAGCCACAGAAGGTGGGGGGAGGGTACGTACACAGGTATATTTGTAGGGGATTGGAAATGGCTTGTTGTAGCTGGTTAAGACCGAACCGGCTGCAGCAGCGCTGGTGAAGAGACATGCTAAATTCCCAAACCCCATTTTTAATCCTGTGTGTTGGGTCTTAATACTCCAATCAAGCAGCATAGGGGCACTCAATTGGATTAGAAAAATGACCTCCTATCAGGCAGGCAGGCGTGGAGTGGAGTGGCCCAGCTGCTCTCACCTTGGAAAAAGGTGACTGAGTTCTCTCCCCATCAGGAGGTGACTGCCTCAACACTTCACCCAGAGGGAGGAGGGTTGTCTGAAAGCAGGGCTCTAAAGTGACATCTTGCCCCAGTAATTCCCTGAAATTAAGTGGAAGTAAGTATTATCTGGACATCATTAAGAATGGGCATGCCATCTGTGACTTTAATTTTAGGATATTACAAAAAGTGCAGCCAAACTGTACAGCCTGATTAAAAAGGTTTCCTCTTGAGGGGCCACTGTTGGGTTGTTTAGCAGACATATGAAAAGCACAAAATGGAGAGCCTGAAGCCTTTTCATTTAAAAAAGAGCCATGATGAGATGTTATTTAATATAGAGACAGATAAATGATTGAGGAATGCTACTATAGCCAAAACTGTAGTAAGTTTTTTGATTTGAAGTTGGAATGGTTCTTAAAAGAAATACATCCTTTTGGATCAGTTTCACACTTAACACTTAGGCTGAACTCGTGTCGCACGCCGCTTATACAGGATTTCACTCATCTGACAAGCCAGGCTGTGACCAGAGGTTCTGAAACGCTCACATCCTGCTCACTAGTCTGAGAACACACATCAGCACCACAGCACAGCACAATCACATTGCCACACAGACTGACTGCCAAAGGGCAAACAAGTCATGTCACAAAAGACATTCAGGTTCTAGCTTCAGCAAACAGCTCTTCCCCTTTCAGCAGCAAAACAACTAGTGGCGGCGACAAGACGCTGCCAGGAAGAAGCATAGGGCACAGCCCCTGGAAACTTATCAGTCTTCTTGCGGTTTTCTTTACCTGCGCCACACTTACACAAATGCCTTTTTGTTATAAGGCAAGGTGAAACTGCAACAAAAAACTGGGAGGTGGAAATCTGGGTTTCAGGCAGGTTTCTTATGGCACCACAACAAGCCAACTGTGCCAGCTTATATCGTCCATTTGAGTCTGGGTCCCAGCCAGAAACACAATTCTTTAATTTGAGCCTGTTAGACTGAAAGAATCCCTGCTCCAACGCAGTTCTGACACAAATGGATATTTATACTTTGACAAGCAACACAATTCTGCCAGTCACTTAACATAAATGTTTGACCAATGGGCTGAGAGTCCTCATCACTGATGAATGCATGCCCTGGACTGAGTTTCTGTTACCATGGAAACGTGCGATTTAGGGAAACAGAGATGTGCCTTTTTCCAGTCATAAAAACACCCACCTGAACATGATAGTGTACAGTGAATATTGAGTGGCTCAGCAGCCATACGACAGCAAAAGACAGCACTGCCAACATTTCGCTCCCATTTCTGGGTAACATGACATGACTGCAGCTAATAAATATGTGGTTTTGGCATTATGGAGAATGCAGTCAAATGACAAAATGGTAGTGAAATATTTGAGCAGTCATTAGAGTTATTATATGCCATCATCTGGAAAAAAGTTTAATAGTCTTAAAGCCAAATACAAAGGGTTTCCTTCCTCATCGTGTCATGTCTATATAACCACCAAACCACTCATCTTCTGCAGAACTAAACGCTGCATTTAAAAACACACGTTACTACTGTTCAAACATCCCCAGTGTCTATTATTATTTCTCTATTTAAATTACAAAGTGCTGTCAAAAAACACATTGCATGCATTAATTCCCCTAACCTAACTAACCTGCCTGGGTAAAATCTTTACAGTAGAGCCTAACGTTAATTTCTGAACTAATGATAAATTAAAAAACACTTACTGAGTGTCTTGATTGTGGAAACATCATGTCAATTCCTTGTTTGTTGCTTTCCTTCCCAAACACGATCAACTGAGTGCCCTGTGTTTATATTTTTCCTCGCGTTGGTCCTTTGTCCAAAGCTAGCCCAGCCTTAAACAGGAGCTGTCCAGCGTTAGCGGGATGACTAGCTAACGGTAGCTAGCGACCCCCAACTAAAACAACAACAAAACAACAAGCTGAATATAAGTAACGCACTTTTCGGACGTCGGCGAGGTAAAAAGACTCGGTGTCTTGTCTGGGTGATGCAAAACGATTCAGCTATACCTGTCCCGACTCCGTATTTACTGCGTCTGTGAACAGGAAACCACCATTAGAGCTGGCTCCTCGGTGGCTAAGCTAGCTAATTCTTAAAAAGCTGTCAGTCAAAATGATCCATCGCTGCTGCAAGCTTTCCGCTTTAACGCACAAGCGGCAGCGGCGATGCAAGCTCAACGCAAGAAAATTAATAACGTTATGCACACCGCGGTGTTTGGATGTAGCTAGCGAGCGGAGGGTAACGTTAATGGCTTCTTCCTTCGCCTTGTGGTGGTCCTTCCAAGCTTTCAGCTCGCTCTCTTCAGACAGCTGCGTGCTGAAAAAGTATGAGGCAAGAGGGGGGGACTAATTCTCAGAAATAACAAAATGTCTGCGGGTTCGTTTAAGTTGAATCCCGTTTCGTCCTAACGGCAACAAATAAGTCGCGCGAGTGAAAAAAAACCACCGAATCTTTGCTGTAGCTCAGACGGCAAAACCAACTTCAAATTAAAACGATTCCAGGCTTGATTTAAACTCTGAACGCTTATCCCTTCAACAGAGGAGCAGTGGAGAAACAAGAGTGGTTTTGTCAGCGGTGGGGTAGCTAAAAAGTCAGTCCATTCCTGGAGCTGGTAGGTTAGGGCTGCTGAGCTGTACGCCCCACACAGAAACACAGCGGCCAGATGAGCGGTCCGCGGTACCGATCTACACACCACAGATCTACCTCCTCAGCCGGCTGATGTCTGAGCAGCTAGCGCCTCACGTGGACAGGTCACCACACACAGTCTCACAGGACGGGTAATGGCTGTTTATCAGTGCACTGGTTGACTGCAGGCACAAATGGCCCTAACTTCACCTAAACCTCTCATCCCACTAACAACAGGACTGAAGGCAGGTCCTAAGCAACAACAGCAATACATACAACCAAAAAACCAGACTGCTACACCATATCAATGCACACTTTGCACTCTCTCTACTACTAAACTCAATATCTACCCTTTTTTATTGTATTTACCCAAAGTAGTCATTACCACACCCTGTACATACACATCCAAGTGCTGTTTTTGTCCAAATGTAGTGTCTAAACATATTGCACAGCACCTTATGTTGTTGTAATTGTGTTGTAATGTGTGTGCACTTTTATGTAGCCCTGTCTGCACTTTGTGCTAATTTTAAATGCGGGACCACGGTCACTGTGTACTGTGTGTATGACTGAAATGACATTAAAAGCCTTCTTGACTTAGCCCCTCTAACAGTTACGTCAGGGGACATTATTAACATTGAAGCAACCAAATCATTATTGTAGACACTGCGTGTCATGGAGTTTGCCAGTTGCCAGTATTAATCAATATCTATGCAGTGGTGGAAGCAGTACTCAGGTCATTTACTGCATCGTAAAACTACTCTGTAACAAGTAAAAGTCCTGCATGTAGCTATACAGTGGTGTGAAAAAGTGTTCCCTTCCTGATTTCTTATTTTTTTGCATGTTTGTCATACTGAAATGTTTCAGATCAAACAAATTGAAATATTAGACAAAGATATCAAGTAAACACAAAATGCAGTTTTTAAATGAATGTTTGTATTATGGCCGAAAAAAATCCAAACCTACATGGACCTGTGTGAAAAAGTGATTGCCCCTAAACCTAATAACTGGTCGGGGCACCCTTAGCAGCAACAACTGCAATCAAGCATTTGCAATAACTGGCAATGAGTCTTTTACAGCGCTGTGGAGGAATTTTGGCCCACTCATCTTTGCAGAATTGTTGTAATTCAGCCACAGCAGAGGGTTTCCGAGCCTTAACTGCTTTTTTAAGGTCATGCCACAACATCTCGTTCGGATTAAGGTCAGGACTTTGACTAGGCCACTCCAAAGTCTTCATTTTGTTTTTCTTAAGCTATTTAGAAGTGGACTTACTGGTGTGTTTTGGATCATAGTCCTGCTGCAGAACCCAAGTACGCTTCAGCTTGAGGTCACGAACGAATGGCCAGACATTCAGGATTTTTTGGTAGACAGCAGAATTCATGGTTCCATTTACCACAGCATGTCTTCCAGGTCCTGAAGCAGAAAAACAGCCCCAGACCATCACACTACCACCACCATGTTTTACTATTAGTATGATGTTCCTTTTCTGAAACTTGTTACTTTTATGGCAGATGTAATGGGACACACACCTTCCAAAAAGTTCAACTTTTGTCTCTGATCATCAAGATGTTTTCTGGCAAAACTGAGATGAGCCTTTATGTTCTTTTTGCTCAGCAGTGGTTTTCGTCTTGGAACTCTGCCATGCAGGGCATGTTTGCCCAGTCTCTTTCTTATGGTGGAGACATGAACACTGACTTTAACTGAGGCAAGTGAAGCCTGCAGTTTTTGTGTGTTGTGAGTTTTTTTTGTGACTTCTTGGATAAATTGTCGCTGCGCTAAGAAATCTGGAAGGGGGCAAACACCTACACACACACGACCAGCCGTAACATTATGAAGACCTGCCTAATGTTGTGTAGGCCCCCCTTTTTAATTGACCCTAACCCTTACCCAAAACAGACCTGAGGCCTTAAGTCCTATAGTATAAATAATATTTTACCTTTGAAAATGTATTAAAAGGAAACCTGGGGGGAGCCAGTTTGAATGGGCCTAATGGAGTTTATAAACATTAATTTCTAGCAAGTATTGTTATCTATAATTTACAGAGGCTATGCTTTGTTAGTAGAGTAGATGCTGGATTGTCAGCTAGTACAAGCACAGTTGATCCACATCCACCCTCAGCCAGTTCCAGTACAGACCCAGGTGAAACACACAGAAGTTCGAGCACAGCCAGCGATGTACAGCCAGCATCAGATACAAGCAGCTCAGACCCTAATGGAACAGTTGCTGCTCCACAAAATGATCCAGCACTTTGGCCTAAGGTGTGCAGTTGTGTCTGGCTCCAAGACATTAGCAGCAGGTCCTGTAGTCCTGTAAGTTGTGAATGCTCCGTATTTGTATAGCGCCTTTTGAGTCTTTTCGACCACTCAAAGCGCTTCTACACTACATCGCATTCACCGTTCAAGTGCTCAGACAGAAACTAACATTCACACACATTCATACACTGGTGGAACAGCCACCAGGGACAATTCGGGGTTCAGTATCTTGCCCAAGGACACTTCGACATGCAGCCTGGAGGAGCCAGAGATTGACCTGCCGACCTTCCGATTAACGGGTAACCCGTCTACCTCCTGAGCCACAGCCGCTAGTTGTGTGCCACCTGTGACCCTGCCGCCAGTTTCCCGCTTTTCCTTCCTTGGACCATTTTGACAGGTACTGACCACTGCAGACCGAGAACACCCCACAAGAGCTGTAGTTTTGGAGATGCTCTGACCCAGTCGTCTAGCCATCACAATTTCAGTGTTATTCACTTCACCTGTCAGTGGTCATAATGTTATGGCTGATCGGTGTGTATATATATATCAGAATAATGTATATTATTGTATTGGATTACAATTATTGATTGATTCATAATGTATGTATCACTTTAATGTTGCAGCTGGTAAAGGTGGAGCTAATTTTAACTGCATTAAATACTGCTCTGTAGCTTAATCTATACTGAATTTGTTGATAATATTTTGAATTAATAATCTGATTCTGTAAAGTAACTAAATTTAGCAAATAAATTACTGGGGTAAAAAGTTCAATACTTACTTCTGTACTGTAGTGGAGTATAAGTTAAGTACAGTATTTCAAATCAAATCAAATTGAGTTTATTGTCACATACACAGTCATACACAGTACAACGTCTAGTAAAATTCAATCTCTGCATTTAATCCATCCTAGTACAAGTATTAGGAGAAGTGGGACTTCCACCACTGGCCATGTGAGTAATACACTTAAGATATTTGGTTAAAATTTATGGCCACGGTTTCTCTTAGTCTATGCAGTTTGCGCACAGATGGTCTGCTTTTTTCGAGATGTGTTGGTTGCCTCATGTTGCTTTGAAAAAATCTCAAAACTACTGAGAGCCAGATCTCCTCTAAAGAGCTGACAAATGCACATTTGTAATAATAACAAGGTATTTTTGTGACTGAAATCGTTTCAGTCGATTGTTCGCCAGTACATGTACCTTATTATGTCAGTGATGACAACTTAACTGAGGTTCACATTCATTTACAAGCAGGTACAGTTCATTGTCTTGTTGAGGACCATAGACAGTCAACATCAGCTGCTACAGGGAACTGAACCAGAGACCTCCCATCATGCATGTTTTAATCCATTTAATACAAAAAGACACGTGTACAGTGTATATTACAGCTGCTTCCTCACAAAATTCCCAAAGCATGATGTAGTTCTTCAGATTTTTCAGATACTACATTTAAAGCAGCCTTTGACTTCAATGTTACAATGGTACAAAAAAGAAAAATAATTCATGTCACTATGAATACCCATCAGCTTCTTTTTTGTCAAAGTTTTGTTACTGTTGCATGATAATTGTCAAATCTTAATATTGTACTGAAATGAATGGAAACTAACAGCTTAATATAAAGGCAGGGAAATACATTCCCAAATCTAAAATTATGTAAAGTATACACGACTTGTATTGGCCATAAAAAGTGGTATGGTCCTTTAATCACAATATGTAAGGAAACAATTTCTCACTCCAAACGAAATGTACAATGATACAATAAGAGAGTATAGGAACATATTTTATTCCAATTTAAAACATTTAAAGGAGAAGGCTATGAAAATCATTTTCATGTTCGAATGAGGTTCAGGCAACAGTGGTTGAAATGAAACATACAAAAGAGAAACATGGCTAAAATACTGTAAATCAATGACCTTTAGGACCCTTTTCATGAGGGTGTTGCATGAATACAGTATCTCACCCATCCACTCCCTCCCCAACCTGACAAACACATGCAATTAAAATGACATTTATCTTAAAAACAGCAGTTCATCATTAATCTTAAATATAGAATAAAATTGTCCTTTTTTTAGTTAATTAATCACATATTTAAGTGTTTATTTGTTTTAAAAACTGGACCAGGAAATTCACAGGCCCTCTGATTTTTCACAACATTGGCACTTGTTAAGAATCTGGCTTTACAAAGAAAGGGGATTGGCACACTCATTGTACATAATTTACATTTGGTATATTTAAAAAAGAAGAAGAAAAAAATCAACAAAAATACATTACTTTCAATTTGTACACCACTACACAAAATTTATTTGAACTCTTAAAAAAAAAAAAAGGTCTGTCATCTTAAGTGGTCCTAAATACACGTTACGGTGTGTCAACCTTACAAAAGAAAAAAAAAGATGCAAAGATAGCTTTTAATATCACTGTATGTCCATCCCTCTAATCAGAATGGATTTCAAGCATAAGCAACAGCCATCAAAAGCACACACACACACACACACACACACACACACACACACACACACACACACACCTCAGAGTACCAACGAGCGCGCTTGAACAAACATCTAAGTTGCATGAATGCAGGCCCATTGCAGTGGTGCAGTTTCAGTGCCTCTGACCCAGGGAAAGAATACACAGTCCAATCAAGTATGGGGGGGGGAGAAGGGCGGACAAAATAGCGGAGAATGGCGGACATGTAAACACACAGCTTATTCGTTCACTCACTTGCTATTATAACCACCAAAATATTATAATGGCCATTTCAGTACCTTCACTTGGCAA